ATTTTCCCTTTAGCTTCAAGAGCAAAGGCCATTAACCCTTTAGTAGTGAGTCATGCAGCATGTGCATTAAACCCTCATTGGTCATTCCCCAGTTCCTTTTCTGCCTCCATTGTCCCCAATTCCACTGACACCAACTTTAATGTCCACATTAATGCTGACAAATTTCCCACTACCTCTGCTGTCCCAGCGTCAGTGAGGTTGCTTCCCGGCCACTTATTTTTGTTTCCCTCCTATTGTTATTAAACCTCTGTGCCAACTGTGGAAAAATCAGCAGCATCCATACTGCATGAAACATGGAGAAATTTTGATTGGAATATTGGAGAAAACATGGAGTATTATGAAGATAAGATTTCTAGAAAAACCTTTTTGTTAATAACTCCTTTTCCTCCCAGCCTCTGAGGTTGTTTGAACACAGTTCTTAAACTTAGATGCAGTATCCCCTGCAGATGAAATTCAGCATTACATTCATAAAATGGCTTTCTATGGAAGCCGTTGTAATTTTAGTGCTAGTCATCAGACGGGTAACTACTATAAATAGTGGAAATGTTGCTCTGTGGGATTGCTAGAGGCAAGAACCCAGTGCCCATTACAGGGGCTTGTCCTAGGCAAATTAAAATGTCACCTTCTTAAAGTAAAACTATAGCCACCTATTAAAATATATGCTGCAGGATTTCATTATAAATGCATTTTCTTCTACAATTTTATCTTGGTCCCCCTGCAAACTCCCACAAATACCTGTTGATCCTGTCAGTGACGTCGACTTAAAATAACTTCCTGTAATGGTGTTGCAATGATGCTGCTCTGCTCCTGAATTCAGAGCATAGTTGCCACTCATGTTAGCTGTGCCTGCTTGCATTATAGTTTGATGAAAAAAATTTGGGCATAGTCAAATTTCAGCATAGTCACTGCCAACTCGCAAGTCTAGCCTGTCAATCAGTGTCTAACCACACCTAGTCTTGCCCACCACTTTCTGAATTGACAGCACTGTTTGTGAAACCCACCCACTGTGAGCTGCAGTGTCTTGGAGGGAGAACGGGTGAGACACAAACGAAGGAGGATTTGGATCAGTCAGGAAAGGAAGTATTTTGTTTACTTTATGATGCTTGTGCATCACATAGTAATTGGATTTGGGACTTGTTTAGGCTGTTATACAGGAGCCTTAAGATGTGCTTTAATGGGGCCTCAGCATTAGCTTTTACACAGACTGACAATGTCTAGGTCCCCTTCAGCTCTTAGTGTGAGTTCAGTAACGAATAAAGCAAAACATTAATTACTTGTGCGATAAGCCCTCTCAGGCTTGGAATGTGCCTCCTACACTGTAGATTTCATTTGTAGGGGCCATGCTGGTATTTCATCAACCATGTAATATATCTTTGGATGGGAACATGCCTGCAATCTGGTGTTCATCAAAAGTTTTCTTCAGCATGTATCAATGTAATTTGTAGAGCACTTTTTCATATGACGAAAGTAATTATTTAACACATTAATTTTTAAGATGTTTTTCAAAAAAACCAAAAAGCCAACATGCATATTTAATATTCTGGTTCTGCCAGAGTAGATCTGCATCCAGTGAAATGTTTTAATTTTTAATCTGCCGGTGTGGAACTCCTCAGTGCAGCCTGAGTGTTACTCTAGTTCATGAGCACTGATGAGAGTGAGAGGATGGGGAAGAAAGACTAAATATTATTTTGCTGGTGATTACAGTGGAGGTAAAAGCCTGCAGTTATAATAACGGTAATATTCGTGTGTTGAGGCACATTCCAGGAACCGGCCCCATCTCTTGCATTTTTCTCCAGTATTTGTGGTTAAGGAATGTGTGTAGGTGTCCTGGCAAAAAAAAGTTTATTTTCTTTAGTGCTGACAGGTAAAACCTCTTAATTTAAACTTCTGATGGACCAAGAATATCTGTAAGAAAAAAAACCTCATGTGATATTGGCTTCTTTCACTGGAACACGTTTGTATGGTTTTTGCCACACACAAGTCCGTTTTGACTTTTGTATATGCTGCGATATGCTCTACTCATACAGGCCAGGATTTTGGGGAAGGAAACATGTTTCCCTAGTGTACTAAATTTAGCTAGCGTTAAACTGCAGAACTACCAGTGTCCAACTACCTTTCGACAATACATATTTATAGAGAGGGCCACTTGTCCCAAATTGGGTGCCTGAAGGCTGAGTAGTTTTTTCCTCCAGTGGTCTTTTAGTCATAGCGTCGCCGCTCACAAAATTATGGTCTTTTTATGGCTGTTTTTTAGCCTCCAGGTTTTTAATATCCAGCTTCTGTTGACCTGGAAAGTTAATTGTGACACCCTTCTCCATAACTGCATAGTCTGCCACTTAATAGGGACATTGTATGGGCATCTTAGCAGTGTGAGGGTGAGTGTAGTCTATACTTTCCTGTAGTTTCTAATGGCAGTAAATCTAGTAAAGGAAATGCTTAACTGAGAGACATGAAGAAGTTCTCTTTGCTGAAAATGCTGGTTACTTGTCTCATTGCCGTTCCTTCCTTGAGTCATTACCCTGAAACAAGTATGCTTCTCTTTGTGCTGTGTTTTTTCAGGTCAGTGATGAAAAGTATACAAGCCACCTTTAGCCAGGCAGCTTGCATTTTTAGAAGCTCAGCAATGGCAGCCTTTTTTTTCCTCTCTAAAAAGGTTTCCTTTTAATTTTCCTGGCTTCTACAGCTAGGAGGGCTTCTAATATACTGGATCTCCTTTAAGCAGAACTCCAGCTAAAAATAACAAGATAAAATAAAATAGTCCGTTATAAGATGAAATAAAACCAGATCTTGCTGCAGTTTTGAGCTTCCATCCAAAGATTTCCCTAATGGTGCTCTTTTCTGCCAAGTTGATGTCTTCATACTGATGGCTAGCATCATCCAACCCACTTCCCAGCCCAGGTTGTCTTCCACCCACCCCAGCCAGTAGCAGTATGAGGAGCCAGTCAATTAATCTTCTGACAAGAAGCATGCTGATAACAGGAGAAAACAATGTGCCAGGGAGATGAGCTTAGAATTGGCTGCTTCTCCTTTTACTTTTCAGTCATAGGTTGGGGCAAGTGAAGGATGACTGGAGTTTAGTGGGTTGAATGATGCTGGCCATCAGACTGAGGCCATCTAGGAGACATCTCTGGATTAAAAGCCAATATTGTAGCAAAATCTGATGTTTTATCTTTTAATGGGCTAGGCAGTTTAATTTTTTTGGCTGGCTTTCTGCTGTAAATGAGACTGTCAAATAGGAAGGCAGAGCACAGGACAGAACTATGAGCAGCCACATTATTGTAGAAGAAGTGTGGAAAGCTTATGACCACTGAGCTATGCAGCCACCAAATAGCAAAGCAGAGATCATAGAGTCTTTAGTCCTGTACTGTTCCTGAAGAGCATTTGAGAACCTATTTGGAGAGCCACAAGAAACCACGTCCCGCAGTTATGCGTGCATGCACTCTCTTTTTTTTTGTAACTTGCATTTAAAAACAAAAACTTTAGTTATTTAGCTTTAAAGTAGTATTAAACTATCAAACTTTTTTCAATAATGATTTCCGATCAAACAAATATACATTGACCATCAAAGTATTTCTTAAGATATTTGCCCAAGCAGTTAGTCGTTATGTTTCCAAACAGTTGGCTCCAACTCTCTGCGCTCTGCTTTCCTGAACTTCCTGTCCAGTATAAGATCACAAGGGACAAAGTAGTCTCCAGCAGCCTTCCATCTACTAGCTTATCGGAGGGAAAATGGAGGAGTAGGAGAGTGGCTTCCTGTGTCTGTGTGTTTGTGGAGACGCACACAGCTTACTAGCACACATATGGATGGCTCCATGGGGCCCTGCAAGTGAAAGGAGCCACCCTACAACATGATATCAGAGCCAGTGCTCAGGGCACCAGCTGGTTCTGCAGTAAACGTAAACTTTTAAGCATCAAGGAGCAGCATCCATTGTTAGGTTCCATTCACACAGGAGTGGTTGTCCGTACTTATTTAAGTGGCCAAATACGCACGCAGCCGCTCTACACAGAAGAAAACTATGCATGTTAATGTGCATTGTTCAGACTTTTGCAGCGGCCACGTGGTACAAAACGGTGCGACCTGCAAAATAGTACAAGCGCAATTTTTGGGGGGACGAATTCCACACGTTCGCAGCTATAATAGTAATAGCCACAAAGGAGCCAAATCCGTGCGGGTGAAAGATTTCAGTGTTTGCTCTTGTGCACTGAAAACCGCACGGGAAACTCAAACGCTATATGTGAATGGCACCTGAGTGATTTACTCTGCATTTGAAATAGTTTGAAAGCCTTTTGACTTTATTATCACTTTAATTCTGCATGTCTTCTTATGAATGCCTGCCTGCCATTCTCTCAACAGTAATAATACATATCGAGTGAGATCTAGTATCCTGCTGTATGATCATCTCTGCAGAAGTAATAAAAAAATAGAAGTTTAGCTTGACTGTTTTGGTTGTTTTATCTTTACGAATATACATTGGTGCTTTTTTGTATATTGAATATATATTGTAATTTTATTTAGGTATCTTTTAGATTGTAAGCCCTCAGGGGCAGGGCCCTCCTTACCATCTTGTCTTGAATTGTATTGTGACTGTAATGTCTTCCTTATATTGTAAAGTGCTGCACAAACTGTTGGCACTATATAAATCCTGTATAATAATAATATTTTATTCTTTATTAGAGACATGGACAAAACTAATTTATGCACCTGCCCTTGACAGTCTGCCTACAGACTTTTGTTAATTTGGGCCCATTCTTTAAAAAAAAGTGATTTATGGTGATGAATGGAAAAACTTCCCCACTGCAACACTTAATCTTCACAGGCTGCCAGTCTCAGAAGTGCTGAAGGTCTGAATATTCTAGGTGTTTTATGGGTATTGTGATGTCAGATTTATGATGCACTGCGGCAGAACGGGTGTTATAAAAATATGTTTACCCCCTTATTGCCCTGTTACAGGTATGTTTGTAAAATCTGCTGATCTGTGTGATGTATTTGTGTCTTTCAGACTGTGCATGCGCAGAAGCCACAGTTTTTATCATTGCACTGTCAGGAAGTTGGAGGGAAGAATTATGAAGCGTCTATGTCTCATGTGGACAAATTGGTCAAGTAAGTGAATTTCCCATGTAATTGCCATAGAAAACTGTGTTACTCTGTCACCTGCTTACCTTATACATTTCAGTTTTGGCATTGTAGTCCGCTGTCTAGTGTGTAGCACGAACGGACTTATTTAGCTAACAATGCAAGGAGAAAAGTGTTTAATGTGAAGTACAATAACCATATTTTTAGAATATGGTTCCATACAAAATTGTGACCCCTTTTTTGAATGTCTATAATTATTAATGCTTCAACTTCAGGAATACAGTTTTTTGGATAGTATGCAGAAGGATTAGAACATCTGTCAATTGGCTATCTGAGTCCCCATTTGGGAGATTTTCTGAAAGGATTATTAAACCCTCCAGGTTTTTTTGCATATATCTTCTGCTAGCAAGCAGGAGATAAATGCAAAAACTTTTTTTTTTAAACCCTTTCAAACAGGTTTAAACTTACCTGTGTCTTCACCGTGCACTGCCGCCCGAAAATGAAAAATCCCAGGCGGCCGCAAAGCATCTTGGGGCGGGCGCATACACAGTGCAGATTTTCGGCCGGGAGACGAGGAGAGACACAAGGTAAGTCTATGGACGGCGTGCACCCGCATGCAGACACCGTGGGACAGGAAGTGCCAGCAAGCTCAGAGGAGTCGGAGCTGGATCGGAGACCCGCCGCATCGCTGGAGGGACAGCTGAAAAGGACCGGAAAGAAGATCGGATTAAGAGACATCAGTTAAGGTATGTGCTTATATTAACATTGGGGGGAGGGGGGGAAAATATGCTTTAATGTCACTTTAAATCCCATCTAACGGAAAAGGAAATGGAGGGAAATCTCACTTTTTTTATGTATATACAGTGGCCTAGGAGCACTGGGGACCCTGGTTCGAATCCTGGACAGGACACTTTCTGCATTTTCTCCCTGTGTCTGTGTGGGGTTCCTCCGGGGAACTCCGGTTTCCTCCGGGGAACTCTGGTTTCCTCCCACTCTCCAATGACATGCTGAAAGGTTAATTAGCTCCTGTCTAAACTGACCCTGTATGTGTTAGATAGGGACCTTAGATTGTAAGTTCCTTAAGGGCAGGGACTGATTTGCATGTGTAGTATGTAAAGCGCTGCGTAAATTGTTGGCACCATAAAAGTACCTGAAATAAACAGTGTGTGTAGCTGTATGTATGAAATTCCATTTTCATTTTGCTGCGTACAAAGCTGTTTATTCTAGACCTACTTGAGGATAAAATCTGCATCCCAGCAGTAGCAATACAGATATCTGAGCGTATTCCTCTGTCCTAACAGATGTACAAATAGATTAGATTTTCTGCAAAATTGTTCTTCAGCGCTCGTTGGATAATTCTGAAATTAATATGTAATTTGTAAAACAAATACATTTTTAGCTGTTCCATTCCAGAGGGCTCGGTAAAAGCTTTGCACTGTCGTGCAATATAATTTTAATCTTGTCATTCCAACAAATGCGTTCCACTTATTAGGCTCTTCATTCATTTACTGAGTTTATGTGGTGAGATGGTTCCCTCTAGTGCCAGGTTTAGCAATTACACAAATTCTAGTAATTCCACAGTTTATGCTTGTCTTCATTGACAAGTTTCTAAGCACACAATTGCTTTAGAAACTTTTTGTTGCTCTATAGTGTTTAATACTGAATCTTTCCTTTCTTCCATGCCACAAAGGGGAAATCTGATTAGTTGCAATGGGGCAACATAGACTGAGACAATTATTTTCTAAAATATTTCAATTAAAGGAGAACTATGACATGAGTGATTTCCACTCACCTCATAGTTCTAAGCCGACCTGTGACAATGAGACTGTCACAGGTCGGCTCAGTAGATCGGGAGGTGAGCGAACACATGCCGGGTTCCCTCACCTCTCGATCCTGTCACGGCTCTCTGCCGTGACAGGGAAGGGGCTGGATTCCCCTCTCCCCGCTCCGATCTGCCAGCGCTGACTGGCGGAACGGACGGGGGAGGGGGCGGGTACAGCTGGCTCTGCCTCTAGATAGGCAGAGCCAGCTGTCACTCACGCAGCTGGGCGGATCCCGTCATCTAAGTCGGGATCCGCTCCAGGTGCGGCGTCTCAGTATACCGCGAGCTGTAGCTCGCGGTATACTGAGCTTAGGGTAACGGGAGGACGCTAGTTTGTGTCCTCCCGTTACCCCAAGGAGAACTATGGGGAAAAACACTGACCCCATAGTTCTCCTTTAACAAGTCCCCTATTCTTTCAATTCCACTGTAATGTTGGTAATGCCAGGTGTGTGTTGAGAGTGTGTGTGTTGAGAGCGATATGGAGCTGCTAGAAGAAAAACAAGCCAATCTATTGCTCAACTAACTAGGATGGTTTTGTTTTGGTTTTGTTCTTAATTACTTCATTACCAGCATATTACACCTCTACAATTTAAATAATTTAGGGCTAAATATGTCCTTTCATAAGCCAAATTGTAACTAATTTTAGTGACATCGGGGGCAGCATTGCTGAAAAGGACCGGAAAGAAGATCGGATTAAGAGACATCAGTTAAGGTATGTGCTTATATTAACATTGGGGGGAGGGGGGGAAAATATGCTTTAATGTCACTTTAAATCCCATCTAACGGAAAAGGAAATGGAGGGAAATCTCACTTTTTTTATGTATATACAGTGGCCTAGGAGCACTGGGGACCCTGGTTCGAATCCTGGACAGGACACTTTCTGCATTTTCTCCCTGTGTCTGTGTGGGGTTCCTCCGGGGAACTCCGGTTTCCTCCGGGGAACTCTGGTTTCCTCCCACTCTCCAATGACATGCTGAAAGGTTAATTAGCTCCTGTCTAAACTGACCCTGTATGTGTTAGATAGGGACCTTAGATTGTAAGTTCCTTAAGGGCAGGGACTGATTTGCATGTGTAGTATGTAAAGCGCTGCGTAAATTGTTGGCACCATAAAAGTACCTGAAATAAACAGTGTGTGTAGCTGTATGTATGAAATTCCATTTTCATTTTGCTGCGTACAAAGCTGTTTATTCTAGACCTACTTGAGGATAAAATCTGCATCCCAGCAGTAGCAATACAGATATCTGAGCGTATTCCTCTGTCCTAACAGATGTACAAATAGATTAGATTTTCTGCAAAATTGTTCTTCAGCGCTCGTTGGATAATTCTGAAATTAATATGTAATTTGTAAAACAAATACATTTTTAGCTGTTCCATTCCAGAGGGCTCGGTAAAAGCTTTGCACTGTCGTGCAATATAATTTTAATCTTGTCATTCCAACAAATGCGTTCCACTTATTAGGCTCTTCATTCATTTACTGAGTTTATGTGGTGAGATGGTTCCCTCTAGTGCCAGGTTTAGCAATTACACAAATTCTAGTAATTCCACAGTTTATGCTTGTCTTCATTGACAAGTTTCTAAGCACACAATTGCTTTAGAAACTTTTTGTTGCTCTATAGTGTTTAATACTGAATCTTTCCTTTCTTCCATGCCACAAAGGGGAAATCTGATTAGTTGCAATGGGGCAACATAGACTGAGACAATTATTTTCTAAAATATTTCAATTAAAGGAGAACTATGACATGAGTGATTTCCACTCACCTCATAGTTCTAAGCCGACCTGTGACAATGAGACTGTCACAGGTCGGCTCAGTAGATCGGGAGGTGAGCGAACACATGCCGGGTTCCCTCACCTCTCGATCCTGTCACGGCTCTCTGCCGTGACAGGGAAGGGGCTGGATTCCCCTCTCCCCGCTCCGATCTGCCAGCGCTGACTGGCGGAACGGACGGGGGAGGGGGCGGGTACAGCTGGCTCTGCCTCTAGATAGGCAGAGCCAGCTGTCACTCACGCAGCTGGGCGGATCCCGGGATCCGCTCCAGGTGCGACGTCTCAGTATACCGCGAGCTGTAGCTCGCGGTATACTGAGCTTAGGGTAACGGGAGGACGCTAGTTTGTGTCCTCCCGTTACCCCAAGGAGAACTATGGGGAAAAACACTGACCCCATAGTTCTCCTTTAACAAGTCCCCTATTCTTTCAATTCCACTGTAATGTTGGTAATGCCAGGTGTGTGTTGAGAGTGTGTGTGTTGAGAGCGATATGGAGCTGCTAGAAGAAAAACAAGCCAATCTATTGCTCAACTAACTAGGATGGTTTTGTTTTGGTTTTGTTCTTAATTACTTCATTACCAGCATATTACACCTCTACAATTTAAATAATTTAGGGCTAAATATGTCCTTTCATAAGCCAAATTGTAACTAATTTTAGTGACATCGGGGGCAGCATTCCTGATACTACCACTTTTTCATTCGAAAGCTGAGTTCTACTGGTGTCCGCACTGTATGAAAAAGTAGGTTGCAATCATTTCAATGAAATCTTGAGGAGATATGAATCACATTAGAGAATACTTTTTAGAGAATACTTTTTAGCAAATGAAGAACTCTGGTTACTCCTGAGAACATGTTTAATTTACTACTGTCTCCTGAAGTAAGCAATTATATGTCTTGTATTCAGTGGAACATGTGGTGGTTCGCATTTCAGCTTTACCACTAAAGTGTCTACATGGTAAACTGTTTGGAACCTAAAGAATAACTCTTTATAGACAAGTCCTTTGAATCACACTGTACTTTCTGATTTCAGAGATCTGCTTTCAAGCGATGCTATGAAAGAATACAACCGAGCTCGAGTTTACCTGGATGAGAATTACAAGTCACAGGAAAACTTCACGGTAAGGATTCTCTTACCATCTGAGCTGACTCTGTATTGTAGTATGTTGTCATGTTTCCTGTTTTTACTGGCCCTTTCCTAATTTGTCTTCCTATGTCTGATACATTGACCACTGGCTTCTTTATATATGTATAGAGCATAGTTTTTATAAAATCAAGCAGTATATTGGATTGGATTATTTAGATAAGATCTTTTCATAGCTTTTAGAGGTGTCGACCACAGCTTGTCATGGAGGAAGCTTGCCTTGTGGAGTTCTATTTGGAAGGAAGCTTGCTTTCTACTATTTGGAACAACAATCTGTTTTTAGAACTTTACATGGCATGTTCTCATCCCTATTCTATATTTATGTGGCTGTGCATTAGTTACTCTATGATTACTATGGGTGACAAAAATTAACATACTTTATTATATTTGTGTAATGTATGTGTTTTTATGATAGTTTAGATCTAGCGTTCTGTATTTAAGTGAATACCAAGTGACAGAAGTACCGGGGAGCTTTTGTTTTTTTTCTTAAGGTTAGCTGTCTTTCCAATCGTTGCTTCATGACTTCATGAGCCAAGGACCCGGAACAAACATGCAACCAGTGAACTGTCAGGCCATGTGATATACACATGCTTGTTCTGGGATAGTTACTAGTAATGAAGCGTGATGACAGCCCAGGTATGTGAACCTTAAAAAAAAACAAGGGAGCAATGGCATCTTCAATATTTCTGTCCTGACAGTTTCTCGTTAGAGTCCCGAGTTATAGTTTCAGGACTGGTTTTATATAAAACGTTGCAAACAATAGTTGTGTTTTAGGACCTTTCTGATTCCCATAAAGTCCTTAAAGAATCGCTCTGAGCAAAATGTTTATTAACCCTTGTAGGGGGGCTACCCCCTGAACTGCAGGGGTAAACTGTTCGTTTTTGTTTAGGTTCTAAAAAAGAAAAAACAAGCTCTCACCTGAACTGCTGTGCCGTTTGCCTGCTTCTCCTGTCTCTGAGGCCTGTTTCCTCCTATGCTGCAGCTTTAAATTGTTCCTCATCGTCCTACCCTCTATACACCATCTATAAAGCATGATGATTTACAGGACTTTAGACCGCTGCAGCTGAGGGGGAGCGAGGCTGGAAGACCTGGTCTAAAAGCAAGCTGGCTCTGAGAATTTTGTGTGTGACTTTTTTTTTTTTTTTTAGACAAAAATGAGTAGTTAATCCTTACCGTGCAGGAGTTACCCCACTTCAGGGGTTAATAAGTTTTGCTTAGCGTTGTTCTTCATGTTTTTACCCCATCCTCATAATCTCCTTTTTCAGCTCAGCTACCATCATTACCCTTTAAATTGAATTCTCTGTATATTGCTGGGAACACAAATGCAGTATCACCTGCCCACTAATAGTGGGGATATATGGAGAACTCGAGTTAACCCTGTGAGTTCCAAGTCAATAGCTGGCTAGAAAGCTGACGCCATGGGAATCTACATCTTCTAGAGTCATAGCATATTCTTTCCTGTTAGAACATCAGCATTGTAAGGAATACATTCTATAGTTGTATTTAGTGAGTGCTGCCTTCCGTCTGCTCATCACTTTCATCAAATTCCTGTATTCCCGGTGTGCTTTGTATCTCTTTCAACTGTTGCTTGATGCGATGCAATCTTGATTTCTCAAGACTAATTATTCCATCATGCATTGTTTCTAACCAGCAATGATAATGTTACACTGTTCAGATGTTGAGTTGTAGTTTAGAAGGCAGTCTGAGTGAAAGTGTCAGTGCATTGAAGAAGTTCATCCTATGGGCATCTTCAATAAGTAAGTTTACAAACTTCTAGATGGAGATGGTTATTAGGAGTGGGGTAGAACTTATGGAAATACATATTTAGATTTCGTTTTTGACCATTGATACTCTATACTAACAGTTCTTTGGTGACGGCTACCATTGTTTCTATCCTTTATGTGTTCACTTTGTGCTTGGCAATGAGAGCTCAGTGATTCATGTGCTGGAGGGAGGTAAATCTTTTAAATGCAGTTTTGGGCAGTAGCAAAAATGCAGTGAGCAGAAATCATCTACACCTCATGAATTGAAATTGCTTTTTAAACACAAATGTGCAGGTATAGTGCCCCTTGTGGGCTCTAATCCCTCCTGCCTGAAGTTCTGTAAGGGCACATATCTGTCCCTGCTACACTGCACAGCGCAACCTCTTCTTCTTTGGGTTTCCCATAGTAAGACCCCTGTGCTTCCCATAACTGTGAAAGGTTTTAAAAAAAGAAACTCTGGAACATTGGGCCGGGCTACACTACGAAGATTTTGGGGAAGCTCAGACCGACAAATACAACGCATTACAGAGGGGCAGCGGATTGGTGCCTGCCACACATTTGAATCTGAAAATATATACTCTGAGGTCTGTGATGTGTACCCCCTGACCTAAGATGTACCATGTCCAAAGTAGTGCTTCTGTGACGCATATAACAGGCTAAATCCTTCTTTTGTCCGGAGAATGTAATAATAATTGTCTCGCTGCTTCACTTGCTGGCACCCTGCAGTTTTTACTGTATGATATAGAGAGACGAGTCACATTTTCTCCTACTAAATTAGGCTCTAAAAACACAGACTATATTTTTGGCACTCTGTATTTACACAGAGTCTGTCAGGATCTTGGCCCTTTTATAGGAAGCACAATCCTGTATTTAGAAACTAAAAATACCGCTTGTCTTCATCTTGTAAGTAAAATAAATTTTCCTTCCAGTAAGGATGGAAAACATCTATAAATTCAATCTCGGGGGTCATTCCGACTGCACATTCAGGTCTTTGTCCTTAACACGGGTTTTATTACACCTTGGCAATTTTCCATCAATAATAATTAGCAGTTGTAGTTCTCATGCCCTGCTAATGAAATCCATGATATTTATGAGTGTTCCTAGCACAGAAAGAAAATTCCTATTTATCTTGCATACCTGAGAGTTTTAAGTTCGCAGTTCTGAGTGTGGTAATTTTTCAAAATTATTACTATAGTTTCTAAATATACAACTGGCGTATGATCATTATTTGAGAATTTAGTGGTTGGTATTAGATCTACTTCAATGTCAACAAAGTAATGTAATTTCAAAAGCTGTTTTCACACTATTTAAATCGGCAGCTATCATTATCGGAGCATCTAGCAATGCTGCCATGAAGGTCCGTGTTCAGGTATCTGCAAGATCTGCTTGAAACCCTTTTTGGGGTAGTAAGGTAGTATTGAGGCCTAGAGCCTCCTTCTTTCCTAAGGTGGTTTCTGCCTTTTACCTCAGCCAGGACGTTGTGCTTCCATCTCTCTGTCCAGCTCTAGTACATTAGAAGATTTTCCTTCACTGCCTGGATGTGGATGGTGCTGTATGGGTTTACCTCTCAGCCATTGCTTCCATTTCAAAGACTTGCTCTTATTGTCATTTCTGATGTCCACGTAAAGGGGAACCATCTTCTCATTTTACCATTTCTCATCTCAGACAGATAATTTTTCCAAGGTTCCACCATTTCCTGTAAAGGTGCTCTCCACGACATCAGGGAGTGCCTTTTGGGCTTTTAGGTATTATACAACTTTCTCAAATTTGCAAGGCTTCCGTCTGGTCTTCTGTTCATACGCTTTCTAGATTTTATCAGGTTGACGTTTAAAGGGTTTCTAAACCCTCCGGTTTTTTTGCATATATCTACTGCTAGCAAGCAGTAAATATATGCAAAAAGTAAAAAAAAAACGCTTTAAAAGCAGTTTAAACTTACCGCTGTCTTCGCTGCGCGCTCCCGTCCGAAAACCTGAAAGTGCTCGGGCGGCCGCAAAGCATCTTGGGGCGGGTGCATGCGCAGTTCTGATTTTCAGAAGGGAGACGAGGAGAGACGCAAGGTAAGTCTATGGACGCGTGCACCCGCATGCAGACACCGTGGGACAGGAAGTGCCAGCAAGCTCAGAGGAGTCAGCGCTGGATCAGGGACAAATGAAACCAACAGCAAAGAAGAGGAAGATTGGATTAAGAGACATTTAAGGTTAGTGTTTTACTTAACATTGGGGGGAGGGAACAAAAAAAATTGACTTTAATGTCCCTTTAAGCTACATCTGATGAAAGCTTTGGGTGTAAGGTCTTTCAGGCAGCTCTTCCACATTTTCTTTCTCTTTTTTGTTATGTGGTCCTGTTGGCTATGCTGCCCACCCCTCAGTTGTACTGCTTTTGGACATCCCATTTATATTAGAATAATTGCTGATCCTGTGCCCCTATTGAACAATAAAGGAAAGTAGATTTTTGTACTTGCCTTAAAATTCATTTTTCAGCATTTTATTAACCACTTGCATCCGTTCGCCCGTGGAGAAGGAGATCGCGGCCATCTTGAATGAATGCAGACGCGGTCCTGTGTGCTGTGTGCGGCGGTGGAAGATGGCGGACACAGGTACTCGTTTTAGACATCCGAGCATTTGCACGAGTACGAGTACCCATGCAAATACTCGGTATCGCGGCCGATACCGATGCTTGTATCGGTATCGGTGCATCCCTAATTTTTAGGATAAAATAAACTAAAATTGCTTTTCTATAAAACTTAAGCATGCAGGGATTGAAAGGGCTTATACCTAGCTGGCCAATGTTTGTTTTTTTGAGTTTGCCAGTGTCCAAGTCTTCCCGTAAGCAGAAGTATAACCTATTTGTGTCAGAATACCTACTGCTCCGGTGTCCCTTAATGATCTCCAAGAAACAGATTTTGTTAAGCATAAAAATCCTGCTTTAAGGTTTATTTTTACAAGCGCAAAGGTGTGTGAGCCAGCATGATGCTTCCCTACCCAGACATGCTGAGAAATAACTGGACTTTAGATCTGATGGAACAAGTGTTGTCAGATTGGGCTGTATAAGAGTTTGACGAATTCTGTGCAAATTTTGACTTCCATGAGTCAGGACTTGCACAGGGATTTTGGTGTGCTCTCGTGGCAAACCAGGCTGCAGGAGAGTACAGCCAGGCTTTGTTGCCATGTATAAAATCTTTTTTTTTTTGATTAATATGGGTTAATCAAAGGTT